CCGGCCCCAGATTTACTGCCCTGACACAGGAATCCATTAAAGGCTGTTTAGGGATCCCAGGCCCGAGCCCCTCTGAAATCTCTTTCATTATAGCTGCAAGCTACCATGGAAGGGGAGCAGATCGACCAATCAGCAGCGGCGCCACATGTGTTCGTGTTTAGCCTGATGGCTGAGAGGCTTAAGTGGCTACTGCACACATCTCCTTCACTGACTTTTATGGAGAAAGTGGCACTTTAACTCTTTTTGTGTGCAATAGAATGTGCGTATATGTGTGTGTACAAGCGTGCACGCAAGGGTGTGCATGTGTGTGTGTGTTGTCCGTGGTCAAACACAGGCCCTAAATGAGGGCAGCCCAGCCACACGTTACTTTCCGCCTGTCTGGCTGGCACTGTGTCGACTAATCAGGACCAGCTTGGTTCATGGTTTCAGTCGTCACCCCCTGCAACTCGCCTACACTCACACTCACACTCACACACACACACACACACACACACACACACACACACACACACACACACACATTTCTTAGGGGCTTTAGGGAGTCCTTCCTCGCCTCTTTACACTTCTTCCTTCCACTTTTCATTCATTACCTTCTTCTCTGGTCCTGTCTTCACTTCCTACAATAAACCCCAATTTATTCCTGCTTTTAGACTTTATTGAAAGCATATTTTCTAATGATATTTACGTTTTTTTTAAACTGAAAGTTTACAAAGCAAAGTGCATTAAATGAAACTCCACGGTGGAGCGACACAAGCACACAATCAGCCTAAAAAACGTCACGGCCAATTTTAGCTGGACTCTAATAATAGACGCGCCACAGCTTGATTTTTCTCTAAAGGGAAACGCGGACCTGAGGACATTTAGAGGAAAAAATAGACACAGGAGGTGAGCAGCAAAAACCAAAGAGTGTAAATTAGAAAATGAGAGATAGTGTTAACATCAGTGAACATGAACACGTGGTGAGAGGAACATGTGCGTCGTGGTGGAAGGCATGTTAATAAGTGGCCTGGGGCAGATTTGGGCTCCCGTGGGGGGAGTCCTGCCCTGCTCTGTAAAGCTTCTGTCTCTTCCTTAACCCGCCCATTAAACACGGTACACAGGTGGCTTATTAAAACCCACAGTGTCGGGCAACTACACCGCACACTGATCACTCAGAGCTCCACGGTGACAAATGCAATCACATGCACTGGTGCCACAATGCAAATGATGGATGTAGTCACCCATACCGTATTGCTCAAGTGTCTTAGTTTACATGTAATGCTGAGTTTGGCAAATGGCTGCAGGCCAGCTTAAAGATTTTTATCCCCTCAGACCCAAATTTGACAAATTTAGTCTCAACCCTGCAGGTCTGGACTCATTAAAATAAGCTTCCATCTGACACAGAGCTGCTTTCATTTATTTATTTGTTTGTTTATTTTTTGGGGGAGGGGGGGTGAATGGTAGTTAAACAAAAAGCAGCTTCTCTGCAGAACCTCGAGTCTATCTGGACTCGATGCTTGTCAGGAGTTTTATATGATTACACACAACCCGAACCCCCCTGGGTCCGCTTGTGTTGTTATCCTGTTATTCTCTGTGTCTAACTGCTTCCACTTGCTTTGTTCTTCTCATTAACAGCAGAACTTGAACAAGTCTCCCATGAGCGTGGGCCCACGAGATCTGGGTTACGGGCTCGATGATGATGAGGACACGGCGAGCAAGTGAGTCGCCGAAGGCGGTTGAATTTTTCTTTTCTACATAAACAAATACGCCAAAAACCGGAGAACTTTGGTAGGTGGATGGAAAAGTTGATTTCATGTGGAGATGTGCTTCCAAACAGCAAGTCCTTCGTTTTATTTTTTTGTTTGTTTATGATGATACTGCCCCCAAGTGGACGTATTAATGAACAGCCTGAGCTGATGGGGTTTCTGTGTTAATAATAATAATAAAATGAACCCTGCTGCCTGTCTGAACACAGGATCTCCTCTGAGGACAGCGCTGAGGTTCGCTCCTACACCGAGGACAGCGACGATTCTGCCTCCCTGGAGCTGAACATCGACTCGTCCAGCTCAGGTCAAATGAACCTGCTGGAGGAGATCCTGGATTCTCTGACCACCACAACCATGGAGGAAGGAAGACTCAGCGCTGCCAAGAGCCTGGACTTCTTCAGGTCCATGGATGAGTTGGACTACAAAGCTCCGGTATGCAACAAATGAATACATCTCTGTGTAAAAGTCTCAAGTCAGACCTCGTTGCTGTACTTTCTGCCACCCAAAAGCAAGATTTTATTTTTTGTTTGATTGTTTGTTTTATAATTTTTTTAATTCAGTTTATTTATATAGCAACAAATCACAACAAGAGTCGTCTCAAGGCACTTCACACATTAAACATTCCAATACAGGTCAGTTCATTTAAGGTATTGGCCAGACTCGGCATTAAAACTGTAGAAATTCAGTATAACAACACTTTACCATCTATATAAATATGAACTGGGTTCAGTTTTTCATTTTGTTAAGGAATTTTGTCATAAATCATTACAGAAACAAAATCCTCTCCTCCAGACAGTGAAGAACTGTGTTCCTCCTACGTCGCTCCAGCACGTAAAACAAGGTAGCTGCTGATGCTAGAATTGTCAATAACTGTATTTTGTTTACTTTCGTGCTCTTAATTATTATGTAAAATTGCGTTTACAGCTGCAGCAAAAGGTCTGAGCCATGTGTCCGTGCCCTACACACATTTTTAAATAACAGGTCTGATCGAAAATAATAACCTACATCTATAAACTCATCCAGAACCACACCGGCACTTATGGACTCCGAGTCCTGTTAGCATGACTGCAGCAACACTGTTAACTGTGTTAGCTCTGATAAGGAAAAAACAAGTCATTTGGGAAAGCTACGACACACACAGATGTAATCTAAAAGATGAAGAACAGAACCTCCATGGACCAGTAGAACTTCCGTGCCATCCTGGATTAGTGCAAATGAGTCAAACTAAGGAGTTACTCCAGCATCAGGAAGCTTTATTCTGGTGAGCTATTAGTTATATATATTCCGGAGTTATATCAATATGGACCTGTAAACCTGGCAGCACACATATCTATAGATTACTCAATTATATTGGGACACATGATGGAGCTAAGAGCTGAGAACTCGTCAGCTTAGAGCTCCCGGTGGAGCACAGAAATGAAATATTTAACAAAAGTAAACAAACTGTACCGATTTTGGTTCTGAAGATGAACAGAATCCTTCTCTATGTTCAAATCTGGTTGCAGGTCTTCTGAGTTAAATGGTCTAAAACATGTCTGCACCTCCGGTAGTGATATCCAGCTAGCGGGGTCGGAGTTTGGTTGAACTTCTCCGGTAATCCAATATCCGTTCTCGTCGCCGTATCCCAGAGAAAAAACAAATCTGACCGACTAGCAGAGGCTTCAGAAGCTACATCTGACTGATGACACATTGTTCTCTGCTATAACTCTAATGCAGAAACACCAGAGTCGGGGGTTGTTTACTATCGCTGTTTCAGCAGATCTCCATGTGAAACGTCACCAGCTGCTCAGGGCTTAGACCTGAAGTTAGTTTCCGTTTTTCCCGCGCCAGTAAAAAAACGTCAGATTTTCTTTCAATTCCAGCCGTCAAAATCCCAAAACCTTTTTCATCTGAGGTTTTACTTCTTTACACATGCCGTTCAAAGGAATTTTGCCACTGGCCAATATCTTTAAGCCAATCAGTAAAAAGTTTCCTTTATAAGGAACCCAGCAGATTCAATTCAATTCAATTCAAGTTTATTTAAATAGCGCCAAATCATGACAAGAGTCGTCTCAAGGCACTTCACATAATAAATATTCCAATTCAGGACAGTTCATTAGGCCAATCAGAAATAATTTATTGATCGCAACGAGTCACTGACTAGTGTCAGTGACTTTACAGCAATCCTCATACTAAGCAAGCATGTAGCGAAAGTGGAGAGGAAAACTCCCTTTTAACAGGAAGAAACCTCCAGAGGATCCTTCAAAGTAATTTTTTTCCTTTTGAGGGGGTTGCTGCCCTTTTACCTTTTTTTTTTTTTTTTACCTGTGACTCGCTAATAAAAAGGCTCCTAGATTCAAGGAATGAACCAGAGTTTAGTCGACACTGACTTTACTCCGACTCTTGACCCGCAGCCTGCCACAAAAACTATTTACTTTCATCTTCTAGTGGAACTGGTACAACAAGATAAGACTTTAATGATCCCACAGTGGGGAAATGTGGTTGTTACCACAGCTCAGGACAGATGAGAGTGCCAAAGTGACCAAGAGGAATAAGACAAGACACAGCAATAGTTCCTATGCAGACACATACACAGTAAGTATTATGGGTAGGAGGTTGTGAAACAATGTGGAAGTAATAATACATCAAAAGTGTCAGCTTTTGTACTACAGCTACTTTTTACTGTCCAAGTGGTAGATGAACGTATAAGCACACACAGGTACAATAGACATGTATCAGGTGCATTATGCAACAACTAGAAATAACCGGTTTTAATAGACAGAAACTGGCATTTTAGCTCACAGGTGATTCTGAAAGCTAAAATCACACCAGTACAGCAGGCGGTCGTCTCTCAGGTTCTGGTGCCTGTTTCGTGGTTTTCAGATTCTGTTGTTGATCGTCTTCTCTTATCCTCCAGTTCTTGATCATGGTCAAGTAAAAAAACTGGACTGAAAACAAATGAAAAAGCAGCTGAATTCTAAAGAAAAACTTTAGCAAAAGCCTGAAAAATAAGTTTATATATATGTGTGTGTGTGTGTATATGTGTGTGTGTGTGTGTATATGTATATATATATATATATATATATATATATATAGCACCTTTTTAGAAAATCTATTAAATCAATCAATTCTAAATCAATAGGTGCTTCACACGCACAAAAGATAACAATAAAAAGAGAAAACAGTAGGATTGAAAATAAAAAAGAGCACGAGTCCAAACAAACCCATAGATGGCAGAAACAGCAGCGTGAAAAGAAGCTGGTGAGGAAGACGAGGAGGGTGGAACTCTTTTAAAATCAAACCTACATAAAACTGCTGCCGCTGTTCAGCGAACACACCACAGTTAGTTTTATAACACTTTCTGACGTCACCGGGGGTGTTGGGGTTACAGAGGCGAAGAGTGCCCCGGATGACAGATCTGGTGTGATGGAGGTGTCTTCAGTCAGGAGATGTGCCGCTTGGTATTCCTCTGTTCACAGTGACTAATGTGTGATCAGTTTCCAGGGAAAAGGAAGGTGGATTTCTTTCCTAATAAAAGCTTTTTTCTTGTTTCATCTTTAGAAGACTAAGCCCCCTCCCTGCAAGGAGTCCAGCCCTGCCGTGGAGAGCAGCTGTGCTCCGGACTCGGATCACGGTGGCTGGAATATGGGTCAGGATGACAGCGCCATCTATGGAAAACACCTTCCACCGTCCCCACGGAGACAACCCACCAAGAGCAGCCTGAAGGTGTCACATAAACCTGCAGCTGGTCCCTCCAATGCAGCTACCCGGAATACTGATGTTTCCAAGTCAGACCATCCCCCTTCATCCTCCGCCAAGCCACATCCCAACCCAAACCTTGCTTCAGGACAGCAGCCGGGACACCATCGCTTCTCCTACTCCCCCTTACCGTCCCACAGAGTTACACCCGCCTCTCCCAAACTCTCACACACCTACAGCTCCCCCTCTTCCACATCCTCTCCAGTGCCAACGAGCCGCTCACGGACCAGCTCAGATCCTCAGAGCAACCTGGAGCCTTCTCAAGACCAGAACCAGACTGCATCCTGCAGCATCCAGAGGAGGAAGGTTCTGACCAAAGACACACTGAGTAAACACCAGAGGCCAGTCAGCAAAGTTCTCAGCCAGGGCCCGGGGAGTCCAACCAAGAACAGCCAGGCAACGATGCAGGTCCCCTGGGAGAGGCAGGTGTCCCAGGACGGGCTCCTGGGGCTCGGTCTGTGTCTTGGGCAGGGTAAAGGCTCGGGAACGGCGGTGGCACCGGATCTAGGCCTCCTGGAGGAGATTGATTCCATGTGTTACTTCAGCAACCTACAGCTTTCACAAGTTCACTGTAACAATAGTCACCACCAGGTCCAGGGCAAAGCCACGGACAAGTCCTAAAGAACGTCTCCGGTTCTGCTCCTCTGAGTCAGAGCAGGAGTCCGAGTGGACCTGACGTAGGCAAGAACAAAGCAGAATGTGGAACGGTGCACTGCACAAGTCTGTCAGTTCCCTAAAGAGCCTCCTCGTGTAAAACTAAACCTGGATTATTAGTGAGATACTCAGAGATGATCCTTAAACCAGCACAACAAACCTCATTTCTGACACGTTTTCAGCTTTTCTCTGTGAAAGAGAATGTTTTTCCTCTGACTCCTTTTCTTATTGCCATTTAATCACAAATGATCTGGATTATGTCTCATTAATTTCCTCGGTTCGGCCTCGGACTCTGACTTTTGCAGTGCTTCCCCTTCCCTTCGGTTATGTTCATGTTGTACGTCTGATTCTGACACAAGTTAGAAAACGAGTCGGTACGGATTAAAAAAGGGACTAAATCTCTTCAGCGCCTCTGCTGAACTCACTGTCCTCTCAACTGTTCACAGGATGAATTTGCACTCGTAGATTAATTTATACCTGGTACTAAACTCACCTGAACAAGTCCAGGAGGACTTTTGGAAGAATAATTTCCGTGTGAGTAATGATTTCTGTCACAACGCCTTAAACAGACGCAGGTTTGTTTTGATGTCTCAAACCTCAGATCTGGCTGCAGCTTAGTGAACAGAATCAGATCAGCTATTCCACATTCTAGGCCCTCGTGTCGAGGCGTCCTTCTGGATCCTGCTGTCGGTTCCTCAGGACGCTCCCGTCTCTCTGAAGACAAACGGCTAAACGTTAAAAGCACATGACTCCATTTAAAATCTGAGACCAGTCGTTGGTCAAATTTAGGAAGTTTTTCTTGGAGGTGGGAAATTTTTATCTTTTGAAGTTTGAGCAACAAGAATCCTACGAACAGAGTCAAACTGGGTTTTGTAATCTGTGTGCGTTCAGATTTCTCTGTGGCACTTCTTCACCTCCAGGCGTTTTTCTTGATGTAAACTTTAAAAACGGGTCACAAAAACACGATTAACTCAGAACTTGTCAAGTCATTAGCGTTGCGCCGTCGTGGGATTTGCTGACAGCATCTCATCGTTTCCTTTCGTCTCCATCTTCCTGCTTTCATGATGAATCCGATCATGTGACTGTAACGTGTGTGTGGGGGGGGTGCACACCGTCGTTCCTCGAGCCGCTCGGTTGGACGTAACATGTTCAGGGTCTAAAGTGTTTTTATTAGCGACTCTCCCATGGAGAGGATCGCTGCGGCCTGCGTCACCGCGGACTCGGAATAAAACACACACACACACATTTCCATGCTCTCGGGTTACTACATGTATGCTTCGTTGTTCTTGTGATTTATTCCAGACGCCAGTCGCTGCGGCACTTTAACAGCAGCTATTCCTTCACTCCTTGAGTGCTGCTCTGCGTTAACGGTTTGCTCATAAAGACTTTGGCGTCTTTCTAAAAGCTCCAGAATCCATCCTGGTAATTCCAAATAAAAACACACACACACACACACACTCGAGCAATCTGCACCGGCCCTGTTCACTGGAAACACTTTAGTAAACTTGTGTTCTATGCAAATATTTAAAAATATAATCTTAAAGAGGTCAGCGTGACAAATGAGATGTAACTGCTGCATGCCCCTGAAATAATAGAATATTTAAGTGTGTGTGTGTGTGTGTGTGTGTGTGTGTGTGTGTGTGTGTGTGTGTGTGTGTGTGTGTGTGTGTGTGTGTGTGTGTGTGCGCGCCTTATATAGTGTAATCACAAGAAGGTAAAGTATTATAGAAATAGACCACCCTGCATCACTGTAAGGAGCGCTGAACATTTTTATACAACAGAGCTCTTCTGGACCAAACCCGAGCAGAACCCGTACTGGCGCTTTTCTCTCTTTTAGCTCTGGTCCGGTTGGACTTCCTCAGTGTTTTCTGCTCTGGGTGGAGGGAAAACCACCTGCTTGTGTTAAATTTTGATTTCATTAGATTCTCTCTGATTGTAAATCACCATCAGTGTGTTTCCTTTTACATTCAGTTTTTCTTCCATGCGTTATCCACAAACGTCCTCAGAGGAAGTTTCTTTTTTTATTGATGAGAGTTTATTTTCAGCAGAGCAGATGTGTATTTTTTCTGGCTTGAGTATATTTTACATGGATAATATTTGATCGGTGTAGTATTGTAAAGAGATGGCACCTGAGCTCTGAATGTTTGAGATTTTATTTTTTTGAAAAACAAGAGAAGAGAACGTCTCGTGCAGCCGTTCCTGTGCAGGGGAATCTAAGAGTTTGGAGTCGGAAAAAAGCAGAGTGACATTTATCTACGTGTACGGTCTGATTTGGTTTCACAGATGTAATCTCGTGTTTCTTTCAGTATTTAATGATGCATTGTGTTCTGACAGCTGAAAGCGCCTTTTCATGAAGCCAAACGAACATTTCTGCTGTAAATCTGTGAAAGCTGCAAAAACAGCTGCTGAGGAAGATTTGGGCCCATTTACTAGATTTCACACGATAAAAGAGCGTAGCATTTTTGGGTTTGTAGAAGAGAAGTTCAGGTTTCTGACACTGTGTGAATAATAAAATGATCAGTAACTGATGTAGCAGCGATCACTAAAGTATAAACTCAGAATCAAATTAACACCGTTCCCTCAGACTCTGTTTAAAGCTGATTTTGGTGCTTTTAGCGCTTCACCAAACCTTCCAGTCAGATTCTTTTCACCATGAGTCTGGCTGTTGTAATTCTGATTAACTCTTTGGTGTTTCTATTTACTGATGTCTAGTTCTGTTTTCTGATGGTGTGCACACTTGCATGCTCTCATCACAGCTGAGGTCAATCTGATGTGATATTGGTGAGTAACTTGGTACATCTGCACACATCTGTATGCACTGTGAACTAAAAAATAAATGGAACCATTAAATGCTTTAATTCTGGACTCATTTCATATCATTACTAGATTCATCATTATAAAGTTCCCTTATTTTAATTTACAAAATATCTGATTTATTCAATAAAATGTTGAGGTAAACATTTAAAATGTGCACCTTTATTTAAATTTTCACAGGCACACAAGCGTGAGAATGAACAGATCTTTAATGACTTGGGTTTTCTCACTGTTATTAAACCATCCCTGCCGATTCCCAGAATCCCAAATGAGAACATCTAGGTTTACTGTTTACAGTAAATAGAAATAAAAGTAAAAGACTGAACAATTATCTGGCTCTGCTGCTGTGAAAGTTAGAGGGACACAAACACGAAAACTCACTATTAAAACAGTTTTTTATTTAAATAATGAATTTTTTAAATCAAGATAAAAATCACGAGGCACTTCACAAAAACAAAAAATGTAAAAATATAAAAAGGAATTTAGAAAATGGTTAAAAATATATTTAAAATGAGCAAAAAATAGACAATTGAGATTAAAAAAATGTTGAGAGAGAGAGTGAATAGGAAAGAGGGAAATCAGCGGATCCTGAGGAAGGTGGAATAGGTGGGGAGAGCAGAATAAAGAGAGTGGTGAAGAAGGTCATACAAAAGCCAGCTTGAACACGTGAGTCTTCAGCTGTTTTTTAAAGGAGACCTCTGAGTCCACTGATCTCAGGCTCAGGGGGAGAGAGTTCCAGAGTCTGGGGGCCACAGCAGCAAATGATCTGTCACCTTTGGTCTTTAGCCTGGTGCTGCACAACCAGTAGGCTTTGATCACTGGACCTCAGGGACCTGCTGGAGGTGTAGGGACTAAGAAGATCAAGAGTGCTATGTCATCAGCATATCAGTTGATGCATCCTCTTTAAAAGCTTTCTAATAGGGGGCAGCAGTAGCTCAGGTGGTAGAGCGGGTTGCCTCATGGGTTCGATTCCAGCTCCCGTCAGGGGTATTCTGCTGTTGTGTCCTTGGGCAAGACACTTCACCCAACCTGCCTGTGTTAGTGGTGGTCAGAGGGGCCGACAGTGCCAAATGGCAGCCTCGCCTCTGTCAGACCGCCCCAGGGCGGCTGTGGCTACAAAGTAGCTTACCATCACTGGCAGTGTATGAAAAAGCGTCTTTGAGTGTCCTAAATAAGTGCTATATAAGTTTGATGTATTATTATTTATTATTAAAATGATGCATTATGGTCATAAAATAAATAAAATCAGTTTATTTAGGCAGCACATAAAAAACTATAGAAACCACAGTTTAAAATAATTATGGCACCATACACACAATACAGTCTAAACTTGGGTCTATTCAACACAAAATGTGACTTTTTTTTTAAATCATTTTGTTCAAACATCAAAACATTCTACAGTGTCAGTGGAGTTTAAAATATTTGTCCATAAATAAATTAAAAACAAGCTGCTTGAATGAACAAATTTAAACATTTAAAGGGGACATATGACTTACAAGTTCTGGTGGTTATAGTCGATGCCAAATATGTTCAGGAAGTTCTTTGGCCTAAATCCTTTTCTCATTTCAGCAGTTTTATCCTTGACAGTTTCAGTACCTTCCAGAATGAACCATTTCAGAGGCCCATTACAAGAATACAAGCTGGAGCTGGCCATGCCCACCCATTCCCCCACTCAAGCTGCTATAAGCTAAGAAGCTCCGATATGAAGGAAGGGCTCCTCCAGTAGAAGATCTCTTGCACGTGAGAGGTGGTTCTCGTCTAATTTTCCTTTTTGTAATATTACAAACAGTAACAGGCACATAGTTCCTAAAACCAGACACTAACAGAAAAGCGATAGGAAGGTTATTTCACATTTGGAGTGTTTATAGAGGCAGTAGACCCACATGGTAGCACAAAAGGATGCAAAGGGCCAGTTTTCTGTAACATATGTTCTTTAAATGAATGGAGAGATGAAACAGTTCAGTTTTCTTTTATTTGCTCACTGTAAAACTAATAGAAGTGGTTCACTAAACAAACTCCATCTTTGTTTGGTTCCTTGCAGCACTCAGATGATTGAAGCATTGATCCGGTGTTCCTGCAGAGAAATGCAGCAGAGTGAACGGTGCAGGATCTAGGTAACTGAATCCAAACCGAACCTTCTGCTTTTCAGAAGTGTTGCACAGTTTTATGTCTTTGATCCCCTCAGATTAACAGCCTGCATGTAAATCATGCATCTCATATCAGTCTCTCCATCGGCGGTGGCTGAGTGATGCTCCACATCTCCACGCGGGATCCTTCCTTCTCCTGCCGGCTGGGGCTGTAGGTGCCATGAGTGGCGCGTCGGTTAAGCGCCATCACCAAGCTGACAGAGGTCAGGATCACAACCAGCAGTAGGATGACAGACGCCAGGCTTATAGAGAGCAAGAGGTCGGAGGTCAAACCCTCAGAGGTCAGCTGGAGGGACAGAGCGGATCATGTGATTTATTGGAAACAAAGATGCTAAAGCTTCTTTTTTGGTGTTATTTCTCACTCTCACACACAAACACACACCGACTCTTTTACACTACACAAGGCGCTCCACGCGTTCTGCCAAAGTGCTGATGGATGTGTTTCCCAGCTCAGCAGGTGGGTTGCAACCACCAGGAGCCTGGAGCCGCCGCGCACTGAAACCTCCCTCCGTCTGCCGCCTCTCTCGCAGCTTGGCTGCAGCGAGCGCCAGCCCCAGCATCGCCGTGATCGCCAAGCCGACCAGACACGGTGCCAGCACGGCAGCTACCCGCGAGCTGTATGGAGCACGCTCCGTCTGTGAAGGATCACAAACAGACACACATACAGCCAAGATGCTGCCGGATGATCCCATCAGCCCTGGCACAGCAGTCTTACACCCCAAAATACCCCTCACACACACACAACTTATTTAAAGTGGTAATAAAAGCAGCTTTACATGAAGTGTCTGATTTTCATCCCAGAGCTTTAGAAACCTTCTCACATTCTCACTTAAAGCTTTGTGACCTTTTGATCTTAGCACACCGCAAACACGCATGCGCCCCGTCACCAACACCACCACCAGAAACGTCTCCATCACCGATCAGACCTTCATTAATCAGCAGCAGGAACACGGGGCAGCACTTACATCAGGAGTTGTCGATGGGGTGATAGTTGTGAGTCTCTGAGTGGCTGCTACAAAGTCACAACAGCTGTAAGTCTGGCTCCACAACAGCTGACAGCATCTTCATGACTAAAAGCTTCTTGCAGAACTTGTCAGGTTACACAAAAATAGTCTCAGAAGTCAGCAAACTTTACACTGAGCAATCAACATGGAAACATACAGTAATTCTAATTTAAAATACAACCATTCGTATCCCCGGGCAAAAAATAACTTGTGCGCTCATGCTTGACGCTGCAGACATGAGAGTTTCTTTCCCTTGCTGCAAGTTCTTTGTTGACTCTTGGAAAGTGCTTACCTGTCACTGCAGCACAGTTGGCTGTCAGAGCGAGTGTGACACAAGCGAGCCGGAGCAGCCTGCAGCCAGGACCTGCCATCAGTCATCGACTGCCACACACACAGACACAGAGATGTCTAGCTAACCAGTCTCTGAGGTGCACAGCGAGGCCACCCTGAAGCCTCGCGCACAGAGACGGCAGCGATGCTTCCCTGCTGTCAGCACTATCAACCTGCTCCGTGTGTGTGTGCATACATATATATGTGTGTGTGTGTGTGTCTGCCAGATAAGCTGCCCTCATACGTTTCTGTGAAGCAGACCGAACTTCTGTGAATGCCACCAGCTCTCTGCTGAAACTGCACTTCAGCGCCAGATGCTGCTGCTTTATTTTTGCTGGCAAAGCACATTTCCTCCTCTCCGCTTTTTCTCGCTCTCAAAGGATGGCCACATCAGTGCCAGCTCTGAAAAACTGCTTCCCATTTCCTCTCCCCTCTCTGTTTCCTCATCGTCAGGGCTACCTGTGCCTGCAAAGGACACACACACACACATGCACACTCGTGCGTCCAGGCTTGACGAAATAGGTAGAAAATAAAAAGGATGGTGCAGCTGAGGGAGGCTGTGGAGACTGGAGTAGTTCTGGATCTGTGCAGCTGTTTGGACTACCTGTGTTGCTTTTAAACAAACTTAAATTTTCAGTTTACGTAAAAAGTTATAGAATAAATGAGTAAATTTCAAATACGTGGTTAAATAAACCTTCATAGGTGTCATTGTTTACTTAAAAGATTTTAAAAATTAAGACAAAAGTTAATTTTGAAAATACTAAAATAAGATAATCAAGCCCTTTTTTGTCTCTTGCTGCCAAAAAGTTGTAATTAAAGGTCAAATGTAACATGCATCCCTGCAGAGGGGGCTAGGCCTTTAGTGTTGTGGGACTACATCATGCAGAATCCACCTCTTGGAGCTTGTGTTATTTTCTTATTTCATAATCAAAACACCCCTAAGCAGTTTTTGGCTTCAGACATTTTCCTGTCTCGGCTGTTTCTGCCCTTCACCTCTGGATGGGGCATGATTGTGTAATCACGGCCCGCTCCTCCGTATCCAGGTAATGTTGAATCCGGATCCCTCCTCATCTGGACTGTAAACAGTGACACCCAGTCTCTCCGTGTAGCTAGTGGGGAACTGAAGAAGTTGTTTCTTTCTGCACTTTAAATAATGCCAATAACCCCAAAATGTGTTTTTGCCTGAGAGAACAGGATCCCTGTTCAGACTTCCTGAAGACGTGTTTAATCTGTGGAAATGTTTGGATTTTATTTTCAGGATCTCTCAAAAATCGAGCCAGAATATGACCATGATCTCACAGACAGCTGGTAAGGAGATCCAACAGGTATTTTGGCTCGATGCCATTGAGTAAGCTATATTGATTCTGTAGTTTACTGGTAACCAGTGTGCAGATTTGAGAACAGGAGTGATGTGCTCGGTTCTCTTGGTTTTAGTTAAAACTCTAGCAGCAGCATTCTGAATAAGCTGCAGTTGCTTCACAGCGTTTTCTGGAAGACCAGTCAAAAGACCATTGCAGTAGTGCTGGAAATGAACACATGAATGAGTTTCTCTAGGTCCTGTCTGGACATGAGACCTCTGAGTTTTGCTATTTGATGCAGATGATAAAACTCTGATCTAGTTCTAGCCTTAATGTGACCAAGTCAAGCTCAGGTCTGAGTCAGTTAGGACACCAAGATTTCTAACCTGGGTCTTCATCTTTATTCCCTCGTTAAAAATGCTATTTTTAATTATGGTATTTAGAATACAGTTACTTTTGTAATACCAATTGAATACTTGTGTGTTTTCCACTTTCCACCCAAAAGATGAATACATGTATTTCAGGCAATGTGTGTTACTGCGTTGTGTAGGCTAGCCCTAGCCTGGCAAGCCATCCTAGTAGAATTTATAATGGTCTGCCCACAGTCCACTGACGGCTCTCAGGCGTGGGGCGGGATCTACTGCTGACTTGAAACTGTCTCTGCGTGCTATTGGATAAGAAACAACGTGACTCACCACTAGTTAGTCCTTCCTCACGGTTGGTGTTTGTTGTATCTGAAATGACGTCAGCTTGATAATGCTGTTGTGATGGGTTTCCCACAAATGTGTGTTATAAGGTTAAAAGCTTTCTATTTGGAGTGTAGTGAGGGCTCAAAGTTCACTAAAATCACAGCTATTTTTCTTTTCCTTGGTCTCCTTGCCTGGTTTATGATGTCATTTATGTGAGACAAGCAGTGGGAATCCTCTGTGTTTTCACACATAAGTTAAAGTAACCCTTTGCCGCAGCCGCCCGTCAAAAAGAAGTGCTTTCTTGGCCTGAAAATGTATTTTTACAGTTCTCTCATCGACTCCCGTTCTTTTTTTTTATGTCATGTTCTGTGTCCCCTTGGTCCCCAGCCCCCTCCTGTTCGTCCTCTGAGTTCCCCTCATGTGTCCCCTTGTGCTCTGTGTCCCTATGCTTCCCCAGCCCTTTCCAGGTTCTCCTCATGTGTCTCCTTGTGTTCTCCAGCTCTCTCTAGGCTTCCCTCATGCTTCCTCCTAGTCACTCCCGTGTAGTTCCTATTGGTTGTTATTAGTCCTCCTCACCCCTCTAGTCATTAGTTGTTTATTTTTGCCCTTAGACTTTAGGTTTAGATATTTAGTGTTTTATAGGTTATGGTTTATCTCCCCCTCTGCTTAAGTTCTTTCCCCATTTAGTTTATTAATGGCACCTGGCTTCTCTCTAGACCTCACTGCTCACACTTGTCGCCTGTTCCCCTGATTGCTTCCCTCTGTGTTTAAAAACCCTGTCTTGTCCCTCAGCGTTTGTTGGTCCATTGTCTTTGTCAACTTTGTTCTGTCCTCCTCAGGAACACCAGGTTTTTGCTCATGAATGAGCTTTGTTTTTGTAGTTCAGTTTGTTTTCTGGATTTCTGGTTTGTCTTCCTGCACCTTTGGATAATTACCCATCATCCTAAATAAAGGATTTACTTTCAACAACCGCTCCTGCCTCGAGTGATCTGGTGTTCTGCATCTTTGGGTCCTAACCTCCTGCACTCAACGGGACATTTTTGGGGGGAGACTTAGGCATCCTGTAGCGTTTGGTGAGTGAGCATCATGGACAGACTGGGACAATGATGCATCCCTGCCCCTATTTCCCCATCCAAGTAGATCGTGTGTGTGTGTGTGTGTGTGGCTACTCGACCCTTGAGACAGAGAATTCTCTGTAGAGCACTCGACAGTCGCTGAGTGGGACAAGTTGACAGTGGAGGAATGTCCCGGTGCTTCTGATAGACACGTCACCACTGGAGGCGTGTTGCAAAGCTGCTTTGCTGGGACTCGAGGGTTACGTCATGAAGCATTGAGGCAATGATTTCATCAAATCCAAGCATCTTATTTCCAGTTTAATTTTTCCGTGGTTCTTCATCGAACACGGAGCAAATGGGGCTTGTTTTTACCTTTGCTGACATGTTTCGGCGTCCACTGCCACCTTCGTCAGAGCTAACCCCCATCTTATTTCCAGGTTGAAGGATTGGCTCATGAAAATAACTTGGGTAAAAAAAAGACACCTCAGTTGTGCCAGTGCTAATATTTTATCATAAATTGTGCCGATGGTTGCTCTGGAAGGTGTTAAACAGCATGATGCTTAATTTAGTTGTAGATTAAAGTTGTGTCGGTCTCCAAGCAGATCAACGATGAAATCCTAATTGATTCTTTCGTACGTTCATTCCATGTTTATCTTTGCAATCCGTTTTCTTGTTCTTTTCTTACACCGTTTAGTAAAAAATTGTTTTTTCTTTACCTGACATGTTTCAGCTAGTATCTCCAGCCGTCATCAGAGACCGTCGGTGTTGTTGCCGTCACTTCTTAATTTATTGTTCTACAAAAAAAAAACTATTTGAGTTCCTAAACTAAACGTGCATTAAAAGATTTCTCACTGCCTGAGATAAAAATGAGATGTCTTGTAGGATTGTGTCTGTTAAAGTCCACTCAAAAAGCATGTCTGAATAATAACGTGTCTTCTGAATAAAAACATCCACAAATCAAACACGTATGCAGTGTTTCCTCACTGTTCGTGCATGACGAGTGTGTGAATCTGAACCGAAGCTATTCTGGGATCTACATCCCGTTAAAACAGATTAACTGTCTATGTTAGATGCCATAGTGTCCAGAAAAAACACACACACACACACACACACACACGCTCACAGTGAGATGGTGGTTTGTGAGGAGGTTAAGTGGAAACAGAAGTAAACAAAAAACGATGGATTATGGGAGAAAATGATTTCAGAGACATGAAAGAGACAAAAAACTAAAGGCTGACTTTATTAGTATTATTAATAACAACAAAAACAGGACAGGACACTGAGATGGGACATGTTCAACATGGACAAACATGAAAGATGTCAAGACTGAAGGTGAAACAAAAACACACATCAGGTCGAGAAGAAAGAGACGGACGTGCTTGAGTCAGAGTTGACCACCGTGATCCGTGTTTAGAGGTGTGATTCAACCAGAGTCGAGGAGAATTCAGCCTTAAAATAGCTTTGGCTCACACACAAAGGTTTAGAGAGAGAGAAAACTTTGGTGCAAAAACAACACACAGCAGTCAGTCAGTCAGTCACACACCGCTCTGAACGCACATCAAGAACAGGTGAGACATCCAAGGCCCTCCAGGAGCTTTTGTAGCTACAACACAGTTTTTCACAGTTCACAAATACATCCGCACAGAGCTCCTGAAATCCGATTCAGGCGAGACTGACGGGATATCAGCAGCAGGAAACATTATAAATAACTCCGATTTCATCATTTTCCTCTGTTTTACGGAATGCAGAAGATGCTTCACTTCGTGACAAACTCAGAATTTAGCATCATTTAAGCAGAACTGCAGCTTTAAATGAAATGTAATAATTCAAATGTGACTTTACCTTTTTGTTTTAGTACCTGTCAAGGCATGGACTGCTTTGATTGGTCAGTTAAAGGTGCAATATGTAGAAATTAGTTAAAAATTACATCCTGTGGACAGATTTGGTTATTGCAATCACTCTCTCACCGAGTTTCAAGGGTGTTGCTAGTTACGGATAAACACCAGAAGGTTCTTGACGACAAGCACTGGTGCTATTGAGCTAGAGGGGACTGCCATATTGTCTTCCTGTGAGCCCCATTTACTCTAACGGCACACCTCTCCCCCGATCCAGCCCTCCAACTCATAGAATTTTTTTAAATCTGGCCCCTTGAGCTACATCACTGCCACAGCTGCCCTGGTGCTCACTGACAGAGGTGAGATTGCCGAACACTGACACCATCAGCCCCTTCGACCAGCAGGCAAGGCAGGTTAAATAGACAAATACATAGTTATATCTGGTGTTAGCACTCTTGGATGCTTTGTGGAAGGGAGCACTTACTACACTTGTAATATGCTTCTGGCATAGAGAAAGTCTGGTTGTTTATCGTCTTGTTGTTAGCTTGATGTTGAACGACTCATCTGAGGAAGTAAATCTCCACATTTAACTTCGCACACACATTTCACTGTAATGAGTTGTTGGAAATTGAAAAAGGGACTTGAGACATCTTTAGAACAGACTGTTTGCTTCCAATTCACCGTTAGCATTGTTAGCTCAACGTTAGCCTCTAGACTTCTTTACTCGATATTAGAGTAAAACACAAAAGACGTCGTGGCTTCTTAGGGGTACAAGAAATAACTTTTTTGTCACTCTTGTTACTGGCATGTTAGTTGAATCACAAATGCCAACGTTGCAGCATTACCTTGCAGGAGACATGGCAACCCCACACTCACTAATGGTAAACAGTAGCTACATCCCTCCTTCCTTTGTTTTGAAAGGAGAAAAACTGACATCCCCGCAGACGGCTGAGGATGAAATATGTTTCAGTATAACTTTCCTTGGGTGACTGATATGGTTTAGAGATTTTCTCGCTGTAGGGTTCTCACCTTATTCTTACATATTGCACCTTTAATTATTTAGAATGGCAACTTGTAGAACAACTGCTGCTTTTTCTTTCCTTCTTTGGTGCACTTTGTGTTTTGTTCAGCTAGGGAAAAGTAGTTGCTAGAATAAATTTTACAAAAAGAATAAGTAACCTGGTTTGGTTTAGGCTTTGTCATTTTGCACACCTCTTATATGCAAAGCACCAGACGTAAGGGAATCCTATATATGTATGAAGTATAACCTTTATAATTCCTATAAATATCTTAAAATCATTTATATACATTTGTTTAAATGAAATTATTTAACACAATAACTACTGTTACCAAGTGTATATGTATCATACACACTGCATGTCTTTGTTGCATATAAGCAATTTAAATGTGATATGATAATATGCCTGTTAAATAAAGTGCTGCCAATTACAAAAAAGTATTTAAAGGCACAAAACAATTCTGCAGAATTAAACATAAAACCACAGACATCTCTGTCTGTTTTATCTTCAGTCAGTCCCAAACATTTGCTTTTGAAAGCCTCATTAGCACACACACACACACACACACTCAGTCGTTTGCCCCCCAGTCCACCTCTGGCCCATCATCCAGCCTCAGGATGAGGTAGGAGAGCAGCTGGAAGAGGTTCTGCCACAGCAGCAAAGCCACATAAAAGTAAAGGTCGCTTACGTCCGTTTGGCACACGTCTCCAGCGAAGCTCATGTCGCACACACAATGGAACTTGTTGATCAGGTTGCGGCAATAACCTCCGTTCAGACAAGGGTTGGACCTGCACTCATCCACCTCCTGCTCGCATCTACAGACACACAGTTAGCCAGAGGAAAGTTCCTGTTCATATCTACTGCACCTGTCACACTGAGAAAAGTGCTGGAAATGCTGTGTTCTTACAGATTGTTTCAGGAAAGACTCATGTTTGGGCATCCCACATGGCTAAACCCTGGGCTCCCTTTTATTCTGTTTTCTGAAATTTCTGTTGTTTCTATCTTAAATCACAAGCTGTGTTAGCCTGTTTTAAATTGGGCTTCTGTTTAATTCCAAGTCTAAATGAACAAAATTAGATCAATGCATCCCAGACTTTTCAGTTTCAGATTCACCAAACAACAGTTGGCAGGATATGCGACCCCAGGTATCTATGATTTGACAATAAAAACATGCTTAAAACGCTCAATAATTCAGGGCATAAAGAAAACCGCTTCAGCACATGCTCACTTACTTACATTTAAGATTATTTGGTTGAGTTTTTGTAACAATAATGCTAAAAATATAGCTCCAGCAAATATTTTTTAATTTTATTTTGATCGTAATCGGAAGTTTGCAGGTTCGAGCCCCACTCAGTTTGTCGCTGTTGTTGTGTCCTTGAGCAAGACACGTAACCAGGTTAAGTGTCTTGCGGGACCGGTGGTGCCTGTGTACAGCAGCTTCGCCTCTGTCTGTGTGCTTCAGGCAGGGGCGCCTCCAGAAAATGTTGATGGGGTGGCCAGATGGGGCCAAAGAAATTTTTGGAGTGGCACACCAAATTGGTCCTTGTGGTAACTATGGGAGAGTTTAGCCTGTGGCGATGCTCCTTTATTCGTTTTTATAAAAATAAAAAAATAAAACAGTATGTAATCAAAACACTTCATTCAAATCTTACAAACACAAACATTTCAGAAAAATACATTTCAGTTAATTAAAAGGTTTTTTTCAAAATGTATTTAAAAACATTTTTTAAGTTTAATTTACCTGTTTGTGTGTTCACAAAAAACTATGGAAATAAAAACTTTTTTTATTATTTTGAGATACAGAAAAATGTATATTTAAAAAAAATCTGATTATTTCTTTACTCACTAATTGTATAATTTTTATTGTTTTACATTTATGTCTTGAATAACTAAGATTAATTTAACATTTACGTGAACACTAATATGATTAACACCGGCATTTCCTGGGGGGGGGGGGGGGGTGTCAATTTTCCACCACTTGGGGGCGCCATTGGCCCCAGGGCAGCTTTGGCTACATTGTAGCCCAGCCCCACCGGCGTGTGAATGGGTGAATGACTGATTGTGCTGTAAAGCACCTTTGGGGGTTTCCAAAACTTAAGAAGGCGCTATATCAAATACAGACCATTTACCATTTTATTTTAACCCTGGCTTTGGGAACTGCTAATGAATTGTTTGTTTTTGTTTCATGTGCCTGATCTGGGTCTCCTTTAGTGTTTTAGTTAGTTTGCTGGGTCCTACCAAATGAATGAACAAACCCACCCCGCCGTCACTTGTAGGTTTCTGAAGAACAGAATTGAAGCCTAATCCCGCCATCTTGGCCGCTTTATGTTTCTCGCCGCTCATGGAAAACACAAAAATGTAACCAAGTGTGGGCCTGTGAGGGTGGGGGCAGATGATTGACACCCAGCAAGCTCTAAGCCGACATAGCAATAAGCTAACCGAGCTAACCAAAGCTAACGGAGGTTGACAGGTGCTTTTAGCCAGAAAATTTTTGGTTGAGCGACTCTGCTACTTTTGCCTTCTAGGCTGTAACACTTTTAATGTGACAGCTCATGTACTACCTGTCAATCAAAGGGACAGGCCCCTTATTATTCATAGTTTGAAGCTTTAATTACATCTAAACTGGAGTTACAACAACCCCAACCTATAAAACCTAAAATAAACCAGTCAGTAAACATGTTTATTTCTTCTGTGAAGTTGGCATTTTTACCATGGGAGTCGAGCATTCTTCTTTCTGGTACTGGCCCGTAGTGGATGGGGGGATTTTTGTAATTTTCGAGTTGGCTTCACTTATGGCAGGAGGCATTTCTCCTTGATAAATAAGGTCCTACCTGTGTCCGTGGAAGCCTGGTGGACAGTCACAAGAGAGCTCTCGGTTGGTGCAGTTGCCTCCATTGAAGCAGGTGTAATTTCTGTTGTTGTCACCACAAACAGAAACCGGCAGTTTGGGCCTTCTGTTAGAGAACAGTCAGAGGGACAAACACGTCTCATTTATTTGACTTAAACCTGAAACTGAGCCTCATATCTGCTAGGGGTGGGAGATAAACTCGTTTTTAGATGCATCAAGAAGCAGCTCAGTGGCCTTGTGGTAGTGCCCACCTGGGAGATTTGAGATTTGAGTTCAAATCCCGGTCATGTCATACCAAAGACTTTAAAAATGGGACCCAATGCCTCTCTGCTTGACACTCGGCTTTAAGGGGTTGGATTTGGGTTTAAACAACCAAATAGCTCCCGAGCGCAGCCACAGCTGCAGCTCACCGCTCCCCATGAGGATGGATCAAATGCGGAGGACAATTTTCAACACACCAGTGTGTGTGTGACAATGAAGGGACTTTAATCTTTAATGGGAACATGAACAATTATAAATTTATTTAAAAAGTCAAAAATGTGTTTTATTAAAGTTCACCTTAACCTAATGAGGAGAGGCGCTAAACGCAGAACTCAACAAAACGGAGGTCCAGTGCTCGGACGGAAAGTGTGCACAGGACAACATGGCTGACCGAGAAATCCGGCCAACATTGAAAGATGTATGGAAGTACTTTGGTTTTTATGAGATAGAAGGGAAAAGGGACCTGGGCAAGAGTCGCACGGCATTTTTACATTTCATTTAAATTTACGTCTTCTAATCTTCTTTATTTTTGAAAAAGAGTTATTCCTGTTCAAATGAATCGGACATCCACAAGCATTGCTTTGTTTGAAAACCGTTGCATCATTTTTTTTCACGATTGCTCTGCAAATTGTTTTATTACTAAAAAATATTGGAAGTAAATTTCTGTTGCATCATTACAAATGTTTTGCTTTGAAAGTACTTGGTAATCACACGGCACCCAGGTGAGGGACGAGAAGGATGCACCATCGATCGGAGCTCTCTGAATTGTAATCAGATCGTTATGTCCCTGAAGATTCCCACCCCTAATATGCAGTTTTTGGTAGTTTTTGTGCTCCAGAAGGCAGCCGAGGATTTGTTTAGCCTCCCGCAGAAAAACTAAGAGGTTTAAGAGGCGACTAGATAATAAGATTAATGAACTCTGCTTGACACAAGCAGAATGGCAAATCACATGTTGAGGAGAGATAAAGTGAGCAATTCCTCTACAACCCTGCAGCAGCTCTGACTGCAACTTGAAATTTGTCCAAAAACACGCTCTTTTTTTTTTGAGGAAGGTACATTTTTGGTAAGAGGAGCTTCCGTGTGGAAAACGTGGATCATCCCGAACAACAGCTGTCACTCATTTGAAAGAGTTGTTGGCTCATTTGACAACAAACACTGTCAGAAAGAGTGTTAATATTTGCTTTTCTTGGCATTTTGTTGCACACAGTTGAACAAAAGAACAGGAGGCATCGTACGACATGTGAGAGACAAATATCTAACAGGAAGCAAACACCTGAGACACCTGAGAAATGAAAGGAAAAAGAACTCACACATTTCTGACAATGATGTACCAAGGAACTTCTTCCACACGTTCACTGCAGAGGAACAGAGAGGGAGAGTGAAAAAAACTGTGAGGAGGAAGAAAGAATCACAAACAAGTGAAACAAACAAAGACAAGTGATTTTGATGAAGACTACACGGCGTAGATGTTCCCTGCAAAGGGAAATCGCTCCATTGGTTGCTTTCTTAGTGAAACACAAAGGTTTCCGACGTGCAAAAAGAGGCGAAAGGCATGAGGCTGTGTGTTTACGGGATAAATGTTTGGAGGCGTTCCCCTGCTGGTTCTCAGAGGCAAACGGTAGATGACAGGGGAGAGAAGCTGGTGCTGAACCAGAGAGCTTTGAGCAGCAGACTGAGGCCTTTTCTGGCTGACACTAGAATAGAAACGCAGCTTCTGAGAGGCTCACTGCGACGCTGGTTGAAAAGCTGAACAGGAGCAGAGACGTGGAGACATTTACAGTGAAGGCTTTTGTTTGGATTGTGCTGTGGTCCCGAGTCTGTGCGAGTTTGGAGCATTTATTTGTGTATTTTGTGTTTACTAAGTAAGGTTTTAGCTCTTTTTATGTTTTTGAAGGCGTTCTGGGAGCATTCAGATACTGAAAAATTAAGAATTTTCTTGTCACCTAAATTTCCAACAAGTCTATCATATCTCAGGTGGAATAACACACACACACTCACACACACACACACACACACACTTGAACCTACCTGCAGATGGGTCCAGTGTAGTTCTCAGGACAGAGACAGGCGTATTTATCCGGCCCGTGCAGGCAGGTGCCTCCGTTGGCACACAGGTGGTTTTCACACACGTCCACCTCCTCCTCACAGTCCACACCTGTGTAGCCTAACTCACAGGTGCACTCGTAGGTGAGCCCGTTGACGGTGCAGTTGCCGTGGATGCAGGGACTGGAGATACAGGCATCTATGAGGATGTCGCAGCGTCTCCCGGCCCACCCGTCTGCACAGCTGCAGTTGTAGATGTTGAACAGGTCCTGGCATTCTCCGTTCACACAGGGGCTGGGCTCACACACGGGGGCCGCGCTGCAGCCAGCCAGAGGAGGATGTGAGGACTTTAGGAGGAACTGCTCCTCCTGCAAGCGTGGGAGGTTCACATCTGAGGAGCTGAAGTACGGCAGGGCGATGCCACCCAGCTCCACGGTGCCCAAGCATCCAGCCAGGGACCAGCCAGCCTCAGGGGCCAGGCCCCCCAAGTAGATGTCCACCTCTTTTCTGAGAAAGTTCAGATTCCCGCCTCGCTTCCTGGAAAGGCTGGTTTCTACGTCCTCATCCAGCACCATAGTCCAGCGAGAGGACAGAGCCCACGGTGTTGTCATGAATAAACGAACAGAGTGCCACTCACCATCACTGACACTCCTCCTGCTGCTCAGACTCACCGTCCACACTCCATTCTCCTCCTCCTCCTCTTCCACCTCCTCCTCCTCCTGCCTGCTGTCTCCTCCAGGGCTGCTCTGAAGCTCCATGAAGAGGACTCCATCCTGGACAGAGACGGTGATGAAAGAGGAGCCCTCCTCAGCATGAAGGATGGCTGCGTTACGCTTCCGAGTGCGCAGCTTCAGAGACAGAGTCGTGATGTTACGCAGAATGTGGCCGTTTCCTCGGAATGACAGAACCGTGCTGTCGTTCAGGAACGTTGCATTAGAGTAACCTGGGAGGTCAGGAGAGAATAATCACCCAGCTAATCGTGAATGCAACCAGCATTTCATTAACCTGATTAATCATAATGCAATAGCTGCTAGGAACAGTAGTGGTAGCAGTACCCACTGCATGCTGGGTAAGTAATTCAGAAAAATCTAATATTTTTTAAGCTTCACTAAAGCAGAGTTCCAACTTTGAATGTTGTGCAAACAAACAAACAAACAAACAAACAAACAAAACAATATCAACAGAAATAAGTTAAATGAGTGTTTCCCTAAACAAACACAGTCACTCAACTTTTTAACAGCTCTGAATGAGTTCTTAGTGCTGGAGTCATAGGTGCTAATCTGGAGTCACGTCATGTGTGACCTTTGACCTTCTCTTGCATAAACACTGATGTTTTCTACTAAATGTGTAATAATGTGTAGTAAACGTCCAAAGTGTGTCACACCATACGACATCATTCACAAGCAAGGTGTGGAGCGAGCGAATCACAGTATCGTTGTTGTTGTTATTAATATTGTTGTTGCTATTAAGATTAATATGATTAATAGGAATAATAATAAGAAGAACATAAAAATCTGTATATTTATTGTTTATTTGATTCTTAAAACAGTTCATAGTTAGAAAAGCATCTTCTCCACCTGCAAAGACACTTGAATGACTTTTGAAAAGAACATTTATAGTAAAATGGTTTCTATGACCCTGAAGATGAATTAGAAACTCTGAAAGTAATTCATGTTACTTGTGCTGAAACAAAGTTGTCTCCTACTATTTACTTTCATTTTAAATAAATAAACGTAGGAATGTTTCAGAAGGATTTGTTCCTCAATGAGCTCAGAAGAAATGACTAGAAGGATTCCTCACTGATCCCAGTCAGAAGGGAAAGATTGAGGCCGCTCACATAAGAGCTATGGATGTAATTAGAACAAGGTGTGTGTGTGTGTGTGTGTGTGTGTGTGTGTGTGTGTGTGTGTGTGTGTGTGTGTGTGTGTGTGTGTGTGTGTGTGTGTGTGTGTGTGTGTGTGTGTGTGTGTGTGTGTGTGTGTGTGTGTGTGTGTGTATGTCTGTCTGTCTGTCTGTCTGTCTGTCTGTCTGTGTGTATGTGTATCTGTCTGTCTGTCTGTCTGTCTGTGTGTGTGTGTGTGTGCTCTGTCTGTCTGTCTGTCTGCCTGTGTGTGTGTGTGTGTGTGTGTGTGTGTGTGTGTGTCTGTCTGTCTGTCTGTCTTTGTGTGTGCGCTGTCTGTCTGTGTGTGTGTATGTGTATGTGTCTGTCTGTCTGTGTGTGCGTGTGTCTGTCTGTCTGTGTGTGCGCTGTCTGTCTGTCTGTCTGTCTGTGTATGTGTATGTGTATGTGTCTGTCTGTCTGTGTGTGCGCTGTCTGTCTGTCTGTCTGTCTGTGTATGTGTATGTGTATGTGTCTGTCTGTCTGTGTGTGCGCTGTCTGTCTGTCTGTATGTCTGTGTGTGTGTATGTGTATGTGTCTGTCTGTCTGTGTGTGTGTGTGTATGTGTATGTGTCTGTCTGTCTGTATGTCTGTGTGTGTGTATGTGTATGTGTCTGTCTGTCTGTGTGTGTGTGTGTATGTGTATGTGTCTGTCTGTCTGTGTGTGCGTGTGTATGTGTATGTGTCTGTCTGTCTGTGTGTGCGCTGTCTGTCTGTCTGTCTGTCTGTGTGTGTGTATGTGTATGTGTCTGTCTGTCTGTGTGTGCGCTGTCTGTCTGTCTGTATGTCTGTCTGTCTGTGTGTGTGTATGTGTATGTGTCTGTCTGTCTGTGTGTGTGTATGTGTATGTGTCTGTCTGTCTGTGTGTGTGTATGTGTATGTGTCTGTCTGTCTGTGTGTGTGTATGTGTATGTGTCTGTCTGTCTGTGTGTGCGCTGTCTGTCTGTCCGTCTGTATGTCTGTCTGTCTGTGTGTGTGTATGTGTATGTGTCTGTCTGTCTGTGTGTGTGTATGTGTATGTGTCTGTCTGTCTGTCTGTGTGTGCGCTGTCTGTACAGGTGCTGGCCAGTAAATTAGAATATCATCAAAAGGTTGAAAATATTTCAGTAATTCCATTCAAAACGTGAAACTTGTACATTATATTCATGCAATGCACACAGACCAATGTATTTCCAATGTTCATTACATTTAAATTTGATATTCATAAGTGACAACTAATGAAAACTCCAAATTTGGTATCTCAAAAAATTAGAATATTCTGAAAAGGCTGAATATAGAAGACACCTGCTGCCACTCTAATCAGCTGATTTACTCAAAACACCTGCAAAGGCCTTTAAAAGGTCCCTCAGTCTTGTTTTGAAGGCACCACAATCATGGGGAAGACTTCTGACTTAACAGCTGTCCAAAAGACAATCATTGACACCTTGCACAAGGAGGGCAAGACACAAAAGGTGATTGCTAAAGAAGCTGGCTGTTCGCAGAGCTCTGTGTCCAAGCACATTAACAGACAGGCGAAGGGACGGAAAAAATGTGGTAGAAAAAAGTGTACAAGCTCTAGGGATAACCGCACCCTGCAGAGAATTGTGACGACAAACCCATTCAAAAATGTGGGGGAGATCCACAAAGAGTGGACTGCAGCTGGAGTCAGCGCTTCAAGAACCACCACGAGGAGACTCATGAAAGACATGGGATTCAGGTGTCGCATTCCGTGTGTCAAGCCACTCTTGAACAAGAAACAGCGCAAGAAGCGTCTCGCCTGGGCCAAGGACAAAAAGGACTGGACTGATGCTGAGTGGTCCAAAGTTATGTTTTCTGATGAAAGCAAGTTCTGCATTTCCTTTGGAAATCAAGGACCCAGAGTCTGGAGGAAGAGCGGAGAAGCACAGAATCCACGTTGCATGAGGTCCAGTGTAAAGTTTCCACCGTCAGTGATGGTGTGGGGTGCCATGTCATCTGCCGGTGTTGGCCCACTCTGTTTCCTGAGGTCCAGGGTCAATGCAGCCGTCTACCAGGAAGTTTTAGAGCACTTCATGCTTCCTGCTGCTGACCAACTTTATGGGGATGCAGACTTCACCTTTCAACAGGACTTGGCACCTGCACACAGTGCCAAAACCACCAGCACCTGGTTCAAGGACCATGGT